AGAGGCAGAGAGAAGAGGGGAAAGGAAAGAGAGAGATCATACTTATATGCGATTCTCTGGTTGAGAGCGTTTGGGCATGTTGGTAGACAGCAGCGGCCGGGAGGTATAAAGAGCTGGGAGGTACGGCTGAAAGCGAATGAGGCAGAGCAAACGCTGTGGCGAGGAAAATACTCCAGCATGACAGAGATGGCACAGGCGCAGGCCCTGTGTGCTGCAGTGCTGCTGTGTCAGAGAGCCCAGAGGTGTCTGACAACGGGCTAACAGATTAGTGAACAACCTGTAAGCATCCAGGTGCGCGGGGCTAAGAGTGAGACTGGCGTTACTAACATGCCAGCCACGCTGATACATCCGTGGCGCTTCAACCCCATTAGACTCCAGTCAGCACACTCTGTTTCCCTGTGTCAGCCCATTGCCAATCAACCCCAGACCTCTGACCCTGAAGCCGAGAGCGGGTATTATCAGCCAGGCCTCGAGGCCAGCACTGCGAGATGCAGCTGAATACCAATGCATCTTATCTGTCGGCCATGTTTACCAACCCATTTCATCCAGCCTGTGTCTCTCACAGCTTTTTTTTTTTCCTGTGGTGATCTGCTGCTCACTGCACTCGACAACAACAACTTCATCTTTCTGTAATTTCATTTCGCAAGCGGTGGCTGGCGTATAATGTGCATAATAAGGTAACGGCAGGTAGTTATTGATGATCACAGATCGGGATAATGCATGAGAGCTCATTGCGGAAAATGCAAATGCATCCCGGAGCACATTTGTCATGTGAACCTTACCCCCTGGCCGCGGCACATGAAAGTCCACTGACAGATTAAGCACCAGAAAGGGATGAAGTGAGTAATGGGCTTATAACCGTGTTGACTGATCCCTTTATGAACTATTATCATCAAAGGAGACTGTGTAAAAAATGTCATAATCCACTTCAAATTAATCTCAATCCTATTCCTGTGTCAGCAGCCGCTGCTGATAGTCGGTCCCCACCGTCTGCACGTCTATCTGTGGAGCTGATAAAACATTAAACCCTTAGCGAGGAGCCTTCTGCACACACGCGGAGTCAGGACTCGCTCTGGACCCTCGTCTCCTCCTCGCGTAGCCTGCACTTTTATCACATGGCTTAGTGTTTTCCACACCTCCGTCAGACGGTTTAAAGTGTTCCTTGATGTGTAAATCCTCCAATGAAAATCTCCACGTGTTTGAATAATTCAATGGGGCGTCTGCTGTCAATAGCAGTCACGTAGACTGTTGCTAGAGTGATTTGTTGTTGGTGAGAGGCAGGCTCTGGATAAGTTGTCCTCATTGCCTATTGATCATTTGATCACCGTCTCCAGGAGCTGATGGCTCGACTGTGTTTGTCTCCTACATTAATTTCTGAAACCATAGATAGATAGATAGATAGATGCTTGTTGATTAATCTGTTGGTTATATTCTTGATTAATCGATTAGTTGTTTGGTCTATAAAATGTCAGGAAATGGTGGAAAATCGTCTATCAGTGTTTCTCAAAGCCCAAGATTACGTATTTTAACATCTTATTTTGTCCACCTCCCAAAGATATCCAGTTCACTGTCACAGGCAGGGGCGTAGCACCAAATTCTGGACCCTACACATAAGCAGCCTCTGTGGGCCCCCCGCCTTCCTCTCTCTCTCTCTCTCTCTCTCTCTCAAGCACCTTCTTCATTTTTCTGTTTTGGCATAGTCTGCTTTCTTTTTCTTTTTTTCAAACCCACCCATTTTCCCTTTCTCTTGCGAAGAAGTTGTTCGCTGGTTCTCCAGCAGCATACGCAGTCACTCACACAGCTCTAGCTGCTTTTAGACTGAATGGACTGAACCATTTTGCACCTTTAAGGGGTGAGAGTGGCCTCAGAGAACATCCTCTATTTTTTTATACAAAGTTCTGTCTTTCAACCAATTCATTCATTCTTACTTATCAGATAGATACTAGATGCCGATGATTATTTTCATTGTCAATTAATCTGTTGGTCAATTAATTGATTAGTTATTTCGTCTATAAAATGTTAGGTGAAAAATGTTGATCAGTGTTTCTCAAAGCCCAAAGTGACGTCCTCAGATGTATTCAGATATTCAGTCTACTGTCACAGACAGGGGCGTAGAACCAAATTCTGGACCCTACATTGCCCTTCCTCTCTTGATCCATGTCTCTTGCTCTTATTTATTTTATTTTTTTTTTGGCATGGTCAGTTTTCTTTCTCTCCCATTTATGTCCTGTCTTTTTCTTTTATTTTTTACCCTGATTTGATTTCCCTTTGTCTTGCAAGTGTACATTGGTTCTCCAGCAGCATACGCAGTCACTCACACGCTGCTAGCTGCTTTTAGACTAAACAGACTAAACCATTTTGCACGTTTAATGGGTGAGAGGGGCCTCAGAGAGCTTCCACTATTTTTTATACAAAATTCAGTCTTTCAACCAATTCATTCAGCCAGTTTTAATTTATTTAAGGCACTAATTACCAGGGGCAGGAATCACCAGAGAATCTACGATACAATATTATCATGATACTTAAGTCACAATTCAGTATTACTGTGATTTTAAATATGTTGCAATATGCTGAGTATTGCGATAAAATATATTGTGATTTATTGCCCTTTTTCAACTGTAAATTTTGTCCCCACAGGAAACATTTGTCACCATCTGTTTTATCTAATAAGATAAAGTTTTCAGTCTGCTTATCTCACTTGATTGTTTGCCACAACAAAGTGTATGTAATGGACTGAAAAAGCAATGATCATATTATTCTATTAGGCTACTTAAAGTTTAATTTGTATTTGTCTGAATAATATAGCAGCTAAGCCTATTACTTGCAGCTACATGGATGTTTCACCTGGCCTGACCTGGCTGACGCACTTTACACAGTTGACGCCGCGGCTTCATCGGTTGTGTTGAGTTTGGACAATAACCTGCAGCTTCCAGTTGCCAAACAATCACCGTGTTTATTCGTACCACAAACACATGTTGGATGAATGTCCATTTCTTCATCTTTCATCCAAACCGAATACACAGCTTTCAGCACGTTGCACATTGTCCCGCGCCACAGCGGTCGCAAACCTTTTGCCCTGATGGCGACAACATTGTTCCTACCTTTATACGCTAATGCACAAAATATCAATGCAGCACCACCCAGTGTACATACGAAGTAAATACAATTAATATCTGCTGAGTGGAATGACATATTTAGCTTACAAATAATTTACATGATAAAATCAACACTTGGCAGTGTGTGATGAAACCATATCGCCACGAAGAAATACTGCGATACTATGCTGTATCGACCCGTACCTATTACTCACTACGAAACCAAACTTTTCACTCCAGACTTTTCATAAGCTCCACCTCCCATTGGGGCCATGGATGATCAGTCCCCCACCCCACTATGACGCCCCTGGTCAAAGAAAATAAGCTTAAAAAACTCAACATCAATGTCTCTTTCCAGAAATCATGACCTGGTTACTCAAGATAATCCACAGACCTAGTTGTGAGAAGTTTCATGTAGGAACTATTTTCCTTCTACTGAACTATACGTGCCAACTATATAACACACTGATCCTGCACCACAGTCTCACAGAAACACACATGACTTCTTTAAAAGGCATTACATGGTGGTGGGCACGAAATGTGTTAAATTACACGACAGCAACATGAAAAAATAGTCCAATGCAAAGTCTTTGTTGTGAAGCCTTCGCAGCTTGGTTCGGTTTGGGGAAAGAAAAACACTTGGTTAGGGTTAGAGAACAAAACAATGCTTGGTTAAGTTTAGTAAAATATCGTGGTTTTGGTTAAAATAACAATGTACAGGACGGAAGTGACATAAATGTACGAACTTTGCGTAGTTCGTAAAGTCTAAAGTCACATAACTGCATTGACTTTTGGTTTCACAGAGGACACAAACAGCGGTCTAAAGGAGTAAAGAAACCAGAAAATATCCACAGAAGAGAATGAGACGATTTTGACTTCTTTTCCTCAGCCGGATTAATCAATATCAAATTAGTGGCGATTCATTTAATCGTTGAGGACTGATTGATTAATCGTTGCAGCTCTGCAGATGGACGGATAGATAGAGCTCCACAGCTTATTCCACTGACAGCAACAAACAAAACACTTGAGATCAGACAACACGGTGAAACAAATGTGTCGTGGAGTGAGGCTGAAAAGCTTTTCTGATTTTTTCAAGAAAATCCACCTGAAGCTGAGTGGAAAACCAGCTCCTCTCTGGCTGAGGGTTTCCAATCTATTAGGACCGCATTTCAAACAGCGATCAGACCTGACATCACTTGTGCCGTCCCAATTGTTGCAGGCACCTGGGGTAGATCAGAGGGAGACGGTGTGGATTATTAGCAGTGTGTGTGTTTGTGTTTATAAGACAGAGAGGGCATCAGCTCCCTGCTGCATGCCTCTTTATTTCCCACAAGCTGCTTCACCCTGGCTGCAACATTTATCCCTGTTATCGCCTTAAAAAGCAACTTACAGCATTGCATTTTAAAAACTGATGTAGACACTGAACCACTCCTTCTCAGCTCCTGCTTGTTTTTTTCTTGCCTGTCTTAAACATATTCTTGGATGCACTCTGTGTCCCCGGCCAAGTGTCCCTATGACCAATCCCCACACAGAAAAAGGGCACTTTGACGGCACAGAGCCCACAGAGTGACTTGATGACTTCATGCCAGAAGCATATCTCCCATCACAACACACAAAGACAAGAGGATTGGATTTATGCTCCAGCAGTCGCAGGTGGGAACTGTGTGAGTTCTTTATCAACAACATCCTCCATCACAGCACACACACACACACACACACACACACAGACTGCGATGCGACACTTCACTTCTTTCTATTAAAGGTGTGCGTAAATGTATAAACACATTTTTGGCAATCATTAGATAATTATAATTACGCGTTTTGCAGCTTTAAAACGCAGCACAAGGCGCGCTGTTAAAATCAAACTCAGATATCAGCCCTTAATTGATGATTTCATCCTCTTACCTTTGAGTTCTGGACAATCCAAATATTGTTTGGAGGATGCAAACGCTCGCTTGTTTCCGCCCGTACATTCTGGCTGGGATGCTGACGGTGTCGCCCGGGGAAAAACACATTTCTCAGACTTTCTCATTGGAAGAAACAGCCAATCATTTCGGGCTGAACAGGTCTCCGCTCGGCAAAGAGAGGAGAAAAACCCGCCGCGCCGTCACAGTCTCGTAATCTCTCTCCTCTATAAATACGAAGGTCTCCCTCCACAACAAAGCGTTTACCTTGAGAGCACACTGAGATGTTGTCGCCTTCTGAAAGTTAAAACAGCTTCTGTGTGTGTGAGGAAGGGAGGAAGAGAGATGAGTCCTCCTGGCGCGGGGAGGTTCAGTTCAGAGAGGCAGGCGCGGCTGGAGAGAGGAGGAGAGTCCGATGCGCTTTGCGATGCGCGCACAGACGGAAAACAGCGTCCACCCTCTCTGCATGCATGCGCTCACTTTCACTGAGTACTTCCACTGTGTGAAGGTGCTTAATGTCCTCTTAGGGCGGATGTTTTTTTTTTTCTGCAAAAAAAGGACGCAACACCTTAGACAATTATAATGATAGATAATGTCAGACACAGTAGTTTGGAAGCAGGTGGGAAGCCTGTGAGCTAAGTGTTGTCCAAGTAGTGCAGTCAGTCTGTGCTTTGACTCAGGGACAATTCCAATAGTAATCATTCCAAGTTTTTTGTCATCTCTCGGGACTTCCAAATGACAGATTGAGAGTATGCTGTTATATACTCAGTGGATCAGGGTTCAAAATGTGGAGCCAATATGCATCTGAACATGATATTTTCATATAATTTATATTCTGAACATTTGTTTTTTGGGATGTTTTTTATATATAACCATCAGATGTGACTTGTTTTGAATATATATGTGCAATTAGGGGGTATCTGCAACCCAAATGATCTCTTTTTTTTAAATCCAGACACTCATTTTTTGGACAGGTCACCAGACTATCACAGGACTGACACATAGAGACACATACACATTCACACATACATTCACACCTACGGACAATTTAGAGTCACCAGTTAACCTGCATGTCTTTGGACTGTGGGAGGAAGCTGGAGCACCTGGAGGAAACCCACGCTGACACAGGGAGAACATGCAAACTCCACACAGAAGGGCTTGAACCAGGAACCCTCGTGCTGTGAGGCAACAGCGCTAACCACTGCAACACTGCACCACTGTGCCGCTTAAAATCCTGGCAAATTCGGTAAAATTAGGTTATAAAGCAGATTATCATTCAGTTTACTGCACATATAAATTTGTTAGTCTATGAAAAACATGATGCATATCAGCACTCAGACTGACATCTTGAATGAGACCAAACTTGAAACATGCCTTGGCTTTTTACCTCCGCCAAGGAGGTTATGTTTACACCAGTGTTGGTCTGTTTGTTTGTCTGTTTGTTTGTTTGTCTGCAAAATAACTCAAACAGTTATGAACGGATTTTGACATTTTCAGGAAAGGTGGATAATGGGACAAGGAACAGATGATAAAATTTTGGTGGTGATCGGTTGAAGCAAAGTGGATAAAATAGTAAATAAAGTCTATGGTCTGACAGCCTCAGCAGCAATTAAGACGGTGAAAATAGCGCCATCTGGTGGCGGGAAAACACGTCTTGTTCTACTTGCTAAATGTTGTAATTCTAAAGTTGAAATTGATGTTCTGTGTTGGAAAAAAGAAAGTGAAAAATACAAAGAAACATATTATATTCTGTGTTGGTACAAAATAAAAACAAAAAATAAATAAACCACAGTGTCTCCATGGTGACGGCATATATAACCTAATAATGATAGTGATGCAAATAACCTGATTGTGATGCAGGCTGCAAAAGCTGATGCAGAGGGGGAGGGAATATCACCTACTTGGCAGAGGTCTGCACTCTCTGAGTACTTTTCTAGTTCATTCTTTGGTTTAACTGTTGGTGCCATTGAAGGTTTATCTCTGTGACTAAGCTGCCATTTGGGTTATTATGTTGAAATATCATCTAGATAAAGTGTTAATAATGCTAAACTAGAATCTGCCACCTTGGGTTGTACCAGCTGGTGAATATTCTGACCTGGGCCCATGGACTGGACCAATAAGACATGATCAGTATGACAGTTTCCTTTGTGTTTCCTGTCCCATCTGAGATGTACAAGATGTCTTTTTCTGGTACATCACCACGAGGCACAGCATTTCATATTGCCTTTGCATTTTTCTTAAATTTAAATAAATTGTTTTACGTGAATGAAGACAATAAGAGTAAAGATGCTGATATAATAGGTGAATAGAACAGGATAGAGTAGAGCAGAATAGCTGTTAATAGAACCAGTCCGCTCACTCTGTATCTCCGTGTAAACCCAACCCTTCACCTCCCCTGCACTACAGTCCCCTACTTAACTCTCAGACTTACAAAGAATGATGTCGTTATAGACACTAAATATATACAGAATAATTTATACCCAGTTTAGATGTCATGACAGGAGCAGTGTGGCACAAACTCTAAGTGGAAAATTTGCCAAAAACAAATGGTTGTTGGGTCGTAGTGCCCCAAATACAGTTACAACACATCAGAATATCCTCTTAAAAAGTGCTTTACTGAAAAGATTTTCCCCAAAATCTCAGGAAAAGGCACCAAATATGTTGAAGATGTGCACATAGACCCTCTAATATTAACATCATTTTACCCAGACCATGTCACTGTAAAATGTTGTTGCTTTTGACCTTGTAAAAGAACATGTTCCACTAAATCCACACAGGTTTGCTTTTAATATACGATGCAGGAGGATGCAGGAGGGTATTAGGACCAATATAAACTATGAAACATTACTGTTGCAGTTTCTCTCAGGTTGGACCCATTTGTGAGTTAGACTGACTGGACTAAAGTGATAATAAAGTATAAACAAACACCAAATGCGAGCAAGTTTGTGATTGGGTATTTGTGGATTCTCCTTCAGGTCAAACAGCAGCACATTTCTTAAACAGCCACTTCATTTACTGTGAGAGGACCAGTGAGGTCTGTTGTGAGTCCATTAGTTCAAGTGGACAGGACTAATGTCAGAGAGAAAGAACTCCCCGGCCTTTTTTTGGCACACGAATTAGTCACTTTAGCTTTCTTCAGTTTTAAAAATAGACCTGCAGAGCGGAAATGAATAAAGCACCCGAAGAGGTATTTCTCGAATCAGCTTCTCTTTATAAGCCACGAGGTTCCTGCATGATCAGTTTCTGACAAAGTTTTCTTTATTTTACATGACAGATTCTGTTTTTGTGTTTCTGTTCATACTGCTCTGAAGTGGGCGGGGCTAAGATGGATAAAGGTGATGTCATAGATAATGAAATAGATAATAATGCCATTGCTTCAGGGCTCTATTTCCAGTAACAGAAAGATGGTTTACTGAACACATGATTTCAGCTGGATTTTAACTGCAAAGTTGTTGTTTTTTTATTGTTTCTTTATTCAGTCAGTGGTTGTTGGACCCATCCACCACCCGTCTCACCCACCCACCCATGGAATTCTGCCATGTTAACTTTCACTGTTGTCCCGCCGTGTTTCCTCCAGCAGCTGCATATCATGCCGATGTGAAAGGACAGCTTTTTCTGTCAGTGTCTGACACTGGAAGTCGCTGCCAAGCGCCCAATTTTGAGGAATTCAATGAGACTGGGTTCAGAATGAAGTCAAACTTTCAGCATTAATGCCAGGCATGTTGACATTTCAACATTGCAGTTGAACTTTTGAGGATAAATCAGATACGCAGTCAGCTCATAGTGCTGCTTCTATAAGAAGCCTTGTGTAAACTGACTTTGTAGTCAGCGTGTCAGCTTTGCTTGGTGAGACACCTGCTGTTCGAGACCAACAAACAACAAAACCAGTTGTGATTTAACGAGTCATCGCTGCATTTCCAGCAACTTTTGAGCCACCCATAGGTGGCGCTGGGGGGGGAGCCCATAGCACCCCGTAGCACCCCCAAGAAATGCTCAAACAAAATTTCATTTTTTCAAGTCACTGAATAAAATTGTTTTTATTCAAATGTGTGACATTATCTGGTGGTCAATTTATTAATAGGCAATTAGCGAAAGCACCATAAATAATGTATTATCAGGTGCCTGATAATACATTATTTACGGTAGGTCCTGCTCCAGCAGCACTTGACCCCCCACCAGCTTGAAGTGATTGTGGAAACAGTGTGGCAGGTGCTTTGATGAAAAAATGGAGCGGTTCATGGTCCCTAGGCGACCTCGTGCGATAGAGGATCAATCAGTTCAACCAAACAGCAGGAGGACCAAAGATCTGGATGCAGATAAAATCACTGATGCCTTAACAGACGCATCGTTCTTCTGTAAAGACGTCTAGTGGTGAGTAACAACGTATTAGCCTGCCATAGGCGCAGTACAGGGATTAGTTTTTATTCTACTCTGGCATAGTCGACAGTGTTGTTGTGTTGTGTTAGTGTGAGCTCTTTCAGGGCCAAGGACAGTGTCTGTGATCAGCCACACTGTGTGGTCCCTCTAATTCCACAGTGTGCATGATTTTTTTTTGTTGATTTGGACTCTGCATGTTTATATTGGTCGGCTATATCCACTACTCCTTAGCACCTCCAATTATTAGTCAAGCCCCCCCCCCCCCCCCCCCCCCCCCCCCCCCCCCCCCCCCCCCCCCCCCCCCCCCCCCCCCCCCCAGCACCTCCAGTAAAAATCGTCTGCCACCACTGGAGCCACCAAACGTGTTTTCTAGCAACCAGCTGTTGTGTCTTCAGCAGGGATAGTGTGAAAAGCTTTTTTTTTTTTCGTACTGAAACACCACTGTATTTCCTGTCGGGAAAGTGCCACAAAAAGTGGTTGTATTTTATCAAGGCATTGCCGTGTTTCCAGCAGTGTTGTAGCCACCATACCCAGGTGTTTTTACCAACCCCTCACAGCAATTTCCACTGATAACAGGTATTCTCACCTAATCTTCCCAACAACTCCCAGTGATGTTTGCACCATTGATCCTGGGACCCATCTTTGCTTTCCAACATCTTTTGTGCCACCAAACGTAGGTGTCTTTTCCCAACCAACACCAAGTGTTATCTTTTTTTGCCTAAACATAACCACACATTGCCAACAGCGTAAACATATCTGTAGTTTACAGAAACATTTTGACTGGATTTATTTGACATTTTAAAACAAATATATTAAAGGTCATACAAACCTCGCACCAAACACATATTAATGCCAACACTTGTTCTGGCAAATTGGTTGCTTCTGTAGTCAATCTTAGATTAAAACGATCATCTTCTGCTCTTGTAGGAACACTGCAGAGCTCAATGTGTTGAGAAAGAAAGAAAAACTGCACCTGACTGTTATGGAAGTGTCACCCTGCATCTCATTATGGACAAAAATCACCCCTACCCATCATTATTGGTCAGAGTGGCCCCCTGACCTCACCCTGCACCTTGTCAGACCTCAGCAAGC